CCTGCTGGAGAGGTTGCAGGGCTGCCCCAGCCTGCTCCCCATGTCTGGGACCACCCAGCCCGTTCTGGTGGATTGACTCATCGCATGGAAAAGGAAACCCATCCAAGTCCTTGCTCAGAGCACTGTGGCATCTCCTCCCCAGCCTCTTTCACAGCTCGCTATGAATAAATTAAATCTGAATAATACATTCAGATTTGCCTAGAACCTTTAGGAGAGATCCATCCATTTCCAGCTTTTCCTCTTGGATACCAACAGACATTTTCATTGGTCTTGTGCCAGTCTCTGGCTTTTCTTCTGTCACTAACCCTAAATCATCCCATTCCTGTCCATTCAGCCTGGGGCTATCTTAGCCCTGTTTGGCTGCTATATCAAAACACTTTAAACTGCATGGCTTATAAACAACAAATTTCTCGCAGCTGGGGAGGCTGGGAAGTCCAAGACTAAAGTGCTTATGGATCTGATGTCTGATGAAGGCCTGCTTCCTGTTCATAGATGGCACCCTCTAGCTGTGTCTTCACGTCGTGGGAGGGGCAAGGCAGTTGTCTGGGGCCTCTTCTATAAGGACACTAATCCCATTCATGAGTGCTCCACCGCCATGACCTAATCACCTCCTGAAGACCCCCCCACCTTGTAATAGCGTGACATTGGTGATTATTTTTCAACATATGGATTCTTGGGTCAAGGGACACCAAACATTCAAACCATGCACTGCTACCCTTTGTTTCGGCTGCAAATCCTATGGCAGCTTAACCCTGCTGTCTGCTCACCTCATTAACATGAACATAGACATCATGGACACATTTAGCTCACCCGGATGGGGCTGTGCAGGCACCGTGCCAGCTGTAGCCTGAGATAAAGATGTCTCATTGTATCCCATTCCATTAGTGCCATGATCAGAGGATCCATTTCAGGAGGGATTTTCTACTTTTTAGGGCAGAGAGAGGCCAATTTCCTCTTTCTGGTAAATATAATATAATTGAGCCATAGCCTAGGTATGGGCAAAAATAAGACCAAGATGCAGGCAGCAACTGCAGATGACTTGTTAAACCAAAGAAAGCTCACCGATCACATGGCACATTCAGAGGGTTCTGGCCTCACTCAGCTCTACTGCCCATATCACATTCCTGAGAGACTGCGTGCTACAAGTGCATAGCCTCTCAGGAACACTCGGGAATGTGATGTGGGGGTACTGGAATTGAGGGATTCCTGGGGTACTGAGCCAAATAAGACCACAGCCACCCACAAGGGGCCCATTTTTCATTTAGGCCTAACTACTCTCTGAGTCCGTATGGTTCTAAAAACTTCACTCCCAAATCTTTTTCCTCACAGACCACTGTAGTAACCAAAGAAGGATGGTTGCAAGTGGTTTGAAGTAGGGCAGGGTTTGAGACAGATTTAGGTCATGGCAAAATGAACAGAACTTAGGTATTCACTCAGTCAACATATACAAATAAATTAAATATATAAATGTGTGTGTGTGTGTGTGTGTGTGTGTGTGTGTATAAAATCCGTGTTGTGAGCCAAGCCCTGTCCTGGATGGCTGGGGTAAATTAGGGAATACAGCCACAGTGGTCTCTGTCTTCATTAGTTTTAGTGTCAGGGGGAAGATGAATTTGATGTAGGTATGTGAATGAGGGATTCAGAATTACCTCCTGGTTTCTATTAAGTTGGTGCAAAATTGCGGTTTTTGCCATTACTTTTATAGTCAATAGGGTGCTGTTACTAAGGTAAGAGGTGGAAGGAAAGGAGTTTGGAGCTCGGGCTGGGGCTGCGTAACCGTCAGGAAAACGGTGTTTTGAAGTAAGAGGAAGATGCAAAGCAACATTTCCTCACTAGATGCCCCTGGCACAGGTGGGTGAGTCAGAGCTCAGGGGAACATCCCAGGAAGCTGTGCTGCTTGGCTGCTCAGGAGATCTGATGGGCACTCTGGGATGTGGGGAGCCACATGGCCTGCTGCAGCCAGGTCACTGGAGGTGGACATGGCGCCTCCACCAGTCAGCAGGGTAGGCAGAAAAGAAGGCAGTGCAAAGCGGGGAGTGCTGGGACAGACCAGCACGTTCCGGGCATGTCTGTGTGTCCATCCTCATGCCTGACCTTGTGGCCTTCTGGGAGCAATGGCCTCAGCTTCACTTTATAGAAGAGGAATACATAATTTTCTCTTTACCACTCACAGTTCCCAGTTGGGACAGACCCCTGTAACCTAAGACAGATTAACAGGAGGAAAACAAAGGTTTAGAAACATGTATACATGATGTAGACACAGGAGATAGCCAGAGAAATGAGTAAATCTCAGAGAGGTGGCTTTGACTTCAGACTTGAATACCATGGTCCAGTGAAACAGAGAAAGAAGGGTGTGGGGAAGGCCAGTTATGAGGAGATGCCCAGAAAAAGCACTTTAAACAAGAGTAACATTTGTTATGCAAACTTAAGTCAGTGTCTTCTAGATTGATGATAGTCTGTAGGGATTCAGTCATTCCTCTCTGTGGTACAGAGAGGAACCACCCTTACAAATGGAGATTTCCTTTGTAAATGTAAATTTAATTTTCCTTACACAACGGTAACTTCTGTTGTCAGAGGTTCTTCCTGTGTCTGTGGTTTCTCAAAATAATCAGCTCAAAATATTCTTTATGCAAACGAGGCATATTGCAAGGTGGCATATGCTAGTCTCCTACAACTCCTGCCTTCTGAGTCCCAGGTTTCCCTCCTGTCCAGCCCCCATCCTTTCAGGAAAGGGAATTTGGGGGAGATAGTTCCCAGCCTTAGGTGGGACAGTAGTGCTACGCTGAAAGCATAGAATCCACCACAGGCGCTTGTTCCTGGAGGCAGTTTTGATGCCTCACCATGCTCATGAGTCTTAGGAAGGGATATAGCAAGTCGATCTGGGAAGGATCCAGGCTAAAGATTAAATTTGGAAAGGCTATGATCCGATGCAGAGATGGTAAAATGAAGGAAGGAGAGCTGGGGAAAGAGTACAGATGAAGAAAGGAAGAAAGTCCAGACCAGGTGGGAAAGGGGAGAAGGTACCAGCAACAAAGATGGAAAGTGAGTGACCAGAGGGGTCCGGGGAAACAGGGAGAGTGGAGCCTTGAGGCCAAACAAGGGAACGATGAGTAGTCAGCAAGGGGCCTGTGCTCCTGAGAGCTCCAGGAAGAGAGAAATGCATGGTGGGCCTGGGATATGGAGCCCACTGAAGAACTTAGCACCACCGGATTCATGTGTGTGGAAACAAGCCAGTCGGAGTGAGCTGAGAGTGTGGGAGAAGAGGAATGCAGGTGGTGAGCTAAATAGCTAGAAAAGTTTGGCTGTGATGCTGGGGAGGAGTGGGCAGTTTCCTCTCCTGGGGAGAGGAGTGGCATTTTCAGTGAAAGTTGGGGAGAAGTCTTGCTTCCTAATAAAAATGAGGAAGGTTCGTGCTCATGTGCATTCTAAAGCTGTGTGCTTACTTTCGTCTACGTCTCAGCTCTGTGCTAGGAAAAGATGCTTGGGAAAGAATGCAAAAGACAGAGGTCTTGTCCCAAAGGGTTCTTGTCTCCTCTAGGAGGCATGTAAAGGTCTCTGCAGTAGGGGTGGAGTGACCCTTGAAAAGGGCCCTGTGGGACTTGGAAGGAGGCTGGGATGTGCCCAGTGAGGTGAGGTTCTGAGAAGGGAGGCAGTATCTGAGCTGTGTTTTGAAAAAGAGCTAAAAAGTCTAGGCAGAGGTACATGAAAAGGGACAGAGGGGCGGGGCCTCAGGATCTTCTGGGAATTACAATAAATGCCCCTAGGTACACTAATTGAGCCACTTTCACAAAGGTGCCTGCTCTGGGCAGACGCTGAGGGGAAGGGTGGAGCCCCAGCATACGTCTGCCCCCGTCATTCCTTCCCCATGGATAAAAGCCCCTGTTGGGGGCACAGGTATACAGACTGGCCCTGTTGGGTTTGCGGCACATGAACACTTTCAGACACCCCCGAAATCATCCCATATAGCTTAATGGGATCACAAAACCCGTATCTCTATATTCTGTGGGCAGAGGGGGAGGACCACAGGAGGAGAACTGTAAAAGCCAGAGGGGATTTGTTTGGCCCTCAGGAGGATTTACCTGGGCATGTGCTCTGAAAGCCAAGCAGTTCTGGAAGGAAAAGCAATGAATCATTTATGACTGTTTTCACTTTGTATTCATTAAAGGCCTCTGCACTATTATTATGGAACCTTAATTGGCTTGGCACTGGGCACTGCCTCTCCCAGTCCCTGCTCCTCCCTTTGCCGTCAGAAATTCCTGGAGCGAGTGGGAGAGAGGACCCTGCCTGGAACAGGCAGCTGGGCTAGAATCCACCCGGAAGATCAAATGAAATGCAGTCGCTTTTCTTTCTTCTCTCTGATCATATATTAATAAATGTATCTCGTTGGGTTTTAACTCTGCTCCCCGCGAGCTGCTCCAAGCTTCTGCATCTCTTAGCCCCCTTTGCTTCCTCAGCCTCCAGAGAACCTTCCATCAGCTGTCCCTCACCCGGCCTTGCAGACGCAGTGACTTCACGCGCAACAGCGTGCAGCCTTTGTTCCAAGTGCCATGTTGGGCACTTAACCAGCAACAATATGCGGGTTACCTGATTTACTTCTTTTAATACACTTCAGTGTAATTATAACTGCATAAAAGAAAAGACAAATTGGCAAGTAATTACAATGTTAATTTGGCAATGTTTTATCATATTGTGGAAGCGCAATTTCCTCTCTAATTGTATTGGGGGGACACAGTTATCTATGGTTCAGCTTACTGAGGGATTCTTGAAAATGGAAATGAAACACACAAGAGACAGAGAAATCAGCTCTCCTCCCTGTAAATATTCCTTTATTTGCGTGTGTTTTGCAGCCTCCTTAAAAAAGCTAACTTGCTTATTCAGGCCTAATTAATGGAATGCCACAGAATGTGTAATTAGGTTGTGACAGCTTCAGCTGATGGATGGGTTTGCCTTTGGAAACTGGAGATACCCCCAGATAAAAGGGCTGAACGCTTCCCTTTCAGAATCTCACGGGCTGTGCGTGCCTCACCACCGTCCCTGCTGAGAATGCGACCGTGGTTCCTGGAAAATGCCCCAGTCCTGGGTGCCAAGAGGCCTTCCTTACCTTCCTCTGTGTGATGTGTATCTGCAGCCTGATCGGTGCCATGGCACAGACACCCTCAGTCATCATCCTCATCAGGTAAGCCATCGGCACAGCCCCACCTCTCCTCCTTTCCACCTAGTGTTCATCTGCAGGCCTCCCAGGGACCGGAGCTTCAGACAACATAGGAATCTCTCGAGCCAGGTGGGCTAGGGCCACAGCAAGGAGCGCAGCTTCTCTAGGCTGCTGGGAATCAATTATGTTTGATAGGGACCTCCCACCAAGAGAAGGCAGGACATGGGGGAGAAGACAGCACTTTCATATTCTCCCAGAAATAGACCTGCAGGCAATTTTGAAAAGGAGCCTGCATCGAGCCTTACAGGACGCAGCCTTGTTGGAGGAAAATGAAAATGGCATCAGTGCCCGGCCCCCACCACCCTGCCACTGCTTAGCCATATGAACGTGGGCACTTCCCCCTAGACTTGCTTCTGAATCTGTAGCTGGGGGTGATATGACCCATCCTGCCTGCCTCCCGCAGTGGAGCAGGACCCACTGAGAGCTGAGACCATGTGTGTACAAACTCAGTAGAGATGTGACGGGTTAGTGTGCAGCATGGCTCATGGCAGGTGAGCAGTGACCATTCTTATCCAAAGAGGTTGTTGGAGAGAGCCAACCAAAATTCTATTGTTACCTGTCTCTGGGGACCTGTCCTGGGGACAGATGAGATACCTCAAAGATGAGCCATTAGTAATATTCTGAGTAACTTTTATCATTTGCAGAGTTACCTAGATTTGCGTTGGAAACCCAGAGAACTAACACATAGCCTGCCGTTCATCTGAATCAGGGGAAGGCCCGCTACACAAAGACTCATCAGCTGGGCGTGGTGGCTCACGCCTATAATCCCAGCACTTTGGGAGGCTGAGGTGGGAGGATCGCTTGAGCCCAGGGGTTTGAGACCAGCCTGGCCAACATGGAGAAACCTCGTGATGGCACACACCTGTAATCCCAGCTACTTGGGAGGCTGAGGCAGGAGAATTGCTTGAACCCAGGAGGTGGAAGTTGCAGTGAGCTGAGGTCATGCCACTGCACTCCAGCCTGGGAGACAGAGCAAGACTCTGTCTCAGGAAAAAAAAAAAAAAAAAAAAAAGACAGACTTGCCTTCTTGGGATGCAGTTATCTAAGTGAACAGATTCAATAGCAAGGGCTGGAAATAAAAGTAGGAATGAAACGCATGGAAGTACCCAGTGTCCATGCACCTCACCTCTATTTTATTTAGCTTCTCTCTTCGCCACCACATTTCCTCATCTTTGTTATGAATTCCAACGAAGAGGATTTTTACAAGTGCTCATGTTACCTAGAACATCATTAGCAAGGCCTTTTGAATGTGCAGAGCATTAAGGGTACAATAGCAAATTGCCATTTTATACTACGTTTGAAAAATAAATTTTAAAAATTGACACCCAGTGCTTACAAGGCTGTATCAAAACTGACAAAATCACAAATTGCTGGTGGCATAGGAAAAGGCTATCACTCCTTTCAAAAAAGCAATATAGCAATGTGAGTCAAGAGCCATAAAAATATTCAGACCCTTTTATTTAGTAACCCTGCCCCTTGCCATTTATCTTTAAAAAGTACTTCTCTACAAGAAAAAAAAAGAAAGAGCTCAATGCAGACAGATTTTTATTACAACGTTAACTATAATAGCAGAAAACCCTGAATTGGAATAGTCAGTTAAATTATGGCACTGCAGCTCCATGGAATAATGAAAATTCTTAAGAATGTGAAAGTGTTTATGAAATGAACTATTGAATTTAAAACTATTTAGAGAAGATGATTATGTATAATATGCATTTGGACAAAACCCATCAGATCTCACGTATAGGTTTTAGGTGGCTGCCTTACGAGTAGTTTATTTTTCATTATTAGATGTTCTCGTGAAGTTATATTGTGATATTCATACACTAAAGGCACCGAGAAGCATGAAAAATGACTAGTCTCTTATTTGCTTGCCCCATGACTCCTGTGCAAAAACCCAGCCTCTAGACACTCACTAGTGGTGACTACCAAACATGGAAAGTTTGTTGAAATTCTTAATCACTTCCAAATCTCAGCTTGATAAACAGCTCTTGGAGCTTTGCTGGAAATATTTGATTCCCTCTAAATTAATCAGCAACAGATGGCCTAAATGACCTAGGCTTATAACTCCACGCTGTGCTGGAAGCACACACTATGCATTGTCCATGTTGAGAGGTCCAAGACACAGCTTTATTCCATCACCTTCCTAGTCTGATTTGCCATCACAGATGTCTCAGGCTGGCACAAGAGCACAGATGTGCACCAGCCCTTGCCCCCTCCCAGAAGAATGGACCCACTGTCATGCCAAACAGGACCATCCCACCAACAACAGTGCTCAGAACATCTGGAAGCGAGGTTAAAAGCTGATGCTCAGCCCCTCTTAGGTCCCACACTGGGCTCTGAGAGTAATTAGGCGGTGTTCTCAAGGTCACCCAGCTAGTACGTTTAGAGCTAAGACTCCCTCCCCAGTGTTGTCCAGAGCTTTCAATAGTGTTTGCACAGAGCCCTCCATTTCTTCATAACTCAAGCCAAGAAGGATTATTATTCTCATAGGAACCAGTTTCCCAACAGGATATGAAGGGAGATCTTAGCACCTTGCTCACTTTGTTCCTAGTGACATGATAGCTGAAAGGAAATCAAATTTCAGGTGATAAATATTCTAACTCATTATACCAGCGTGCTTTCTTGATAAGGAGAATTTGCCTCTATTTATGTGTCTTTCAAGTCAATGCTTTCAAATGAAAGTGCAAAAGCCGGAGCCGTGGAGCTGATAATAGCTTTGAAGAACTTGGATTTTGTAACGTGCACATTCTAAAGAGTACTGACTGTGTTTCTGTCCAGAGTCACGTCCCCATCACTTAATGAAAGTCGTGACCTGCTACCCTGGGTTGACTTACCTGTACTGTATTCTTTCTAATTGAGAAGAGATGTGTTTTCCCTGAAAATCTTAGAAACAGTGGCCAAGATTGTAAAAACTCCAGTGTCTTCATCCATTCAGGCTGCTATAACAAAATACCTAGACTCAGTGGCTTGCAAACAACAGGCATTTATTTCTCTCAGTTCTGGAAACTGGGGCATTTAAGATCAAGGTGCAAGCAGATGTGCTGTCTGGTGAGGGCTGGCTTCCTGGTTCAGAGATGTGCCTTGCTGCCATGCCGTCGCTTAGAAGGGGTGAGGTAATTCTCTGGGGCATCCTTTATAAGGGCACTGGTCGTATTCACAAAAGCAAGAGTCTTCATGACCTAATAATCGTCTTTCAAAGGCCCCACCATTACCTTAGGGGTTAAGTTTTAATGTGTGAAGTTGGGGAGGACACATCCTTCTTGGATTGTCACTGGGTTTGTCATGCCAAGAAACCAAAGACATGCCCACCTGAGGCTCAAGCCAAGTGGTAGCTCGTTGGATAGATATCATTGGATGGCTGGATGAATGACCTCTGAAATCATTTAAGAATATTATTCTAGCCAAGTGTATGGACTAGGTTAATATCCTGTGTACTGGATATCCTGTTGGTAACTTTGTTATTAACGTTTATTTCTACGGAATTGATTTCTAGGCCCTCCTTGCATCTCATGGGTCGCTCAGTCACACTGAAGTGCTCCTGGGTGTTTCTAAAGGCTCAGCCACACTGGACTGGTTCTACACCTAGCCAGGTCCTTCCAGGAAGCATAGAAGTGTGATTTCTTCCCCCTCTCCCCTGGGGACTCATGATGGCAACAGATAAGAGGAAGGTTCTTTGCCACTGGTGCTCAGGATGACCTGAAGCACATATGCATGTGGTCAGTCAGCTATCTTCCCCTTAAAATGCCTTCACGACCAAGCCAAGAAAGGGCTACCCTCCCACCCACTTACACTGTCACTTAGCACATGCTGGGCACCACACATGGTGCTAGGGTTGAGGTCATGATGATAAACAAGACACAAATAGTCTTTGGCCTCAGGGCAGAAGACAAGCATTGAAGAAATACCAGTTGCAAGAGTAAGAGGTATTACAAAGGAGACTGTGTTATCAGCTATGTGGACCCATCTATCTGAAATTGGTCAATGTTTGCGAACTTCTTTCTACTCTCCTATCCCAGAAAATGTTACACTCTGGAAATGCTCTAGAAAATACATAGAAGACCATTCTAAGGGACTGTTCTGAGGAAACCAAGGCCAGGGAGATTGGATCACTTTGAAACAACTGTAATTACATGAAGGTACCTTTCCAATTTAAAAGGTGCTTGTATTAGTCAGGGTTTTCTAGAGGGACAGAATAGGAGATACAGATATATGTAGATATATGTTTATTAAGTATTAACTCACATGATCAACATCATCCCACAATAGGTCATCGGCCAGCTGAGGAGCAAGGAAACCCAGTCTGGGTCCCAAACTGAAGAACTAGGAGTCCAATGTTCGAGGGCAGGAACGGTCCAGCATGGGAGAAAGATGTAGGTTGGAAGACTAGGCCCATCTGGTATTTTCATGTTTTTCTGCCTGCTTTATATTCTAGCTGTGCTGGCAGCTGATTAGACAATGCCTTCCCAGATTGAGGCTGGGTCTACTTTTCCCAGCCCACTGACTCAAATGTTAATCTCCTGTGGCAACACCCTCACCAACACACCCAGGATCAATACTTTACATCCTTCAACCAAGTTGACGCCCAATATTAACCATCACAGTGCTGAAACATGCTAAGTGGATTATTTCCCAAATGGTCCATCCAGGGTGTCCAACCATGCTAACCTGGTGGATTTCACAAAATGACTAGAGAATGGTAAATGTGCTCATGGTTTCAGCCTGTTTGTGAAGCATACGGGGAATTATTTTCTCAGTTGATGTTTTCCCCCCCAATACATGTACCCCACCAACTTAAGATGCTTCCTGATCTCAGCAAAACCAACATGTCTTTAAATGTAGGCTTTATGACCACATTTGCATTCTGTCCTTCAAATGACAAGGTTAGCTCCAGTTATTAAAAAACACTGTTAAATTCCTAAACTTATCTTGGCACCACAGTTGCAGTTATTTTTCAGACTTTA